GCAACAAGTTATGGATTAAGATTGATATGTCCTGATCGTCCTGGTATTGGACTCTCTGATGATGTAAAATCTGATGATCAAGAAGTATTAAAATGGCCAGGTAATAAATATTTTTTTTTTTTATTTAAGACGGTAGATCTAAAAATAATTTACTTATATGTATATATATTTATATTTATATTTATATTATATTAATTTTATATTATATTAATTTTATATTTTATATATATATATATATTTTTTTTTTATAGATGTTATAAGTGAACTTTGTGATATACTTGATATACCAAAATTTTTTATAATGGCTCATAGTGCTGGGGCTCCATATGCTCTCGCTTGTGCTATCAGAATTCCTCATAAATTACAGGGTACTATCTTTCTCGTATGTCCCTGGGTTAGCACAACTGTGGCGAATAATTTTAAATGGTTAAGATTTGTTCCTACTCCTGTAATGAAATTTACAAATTCCGCTGGTATATCATTACAACAAATTATGCATGGTCGTCAACCATATTCAACTAAAAATTCTTCACATCGAACTTCTGGTGCGCTAGCCGCTCAAATGTCAAGTTTTGAGAAAAAGCAACAACTTGGTCTAGCGATTTTAAAAGCTTCTTTTGCTGAAAATTTGTCTGGCGCAAATAATGATTTAGTAATGTGTTTTGAACGAAGACGTACTTTCGGTTTCTCTTACGCCGATATAGATCATCCTGTTCATGTTTTTCATGGAACAAAAGATGATCGAATTCCTGTTTCTGCTGTAAAGTGGATGGAAGATAATATGCCAGATTGTAGATTAACTCTTGTAGAAGGCGGAAAGCATTCTCTATTTCTGCGTGCTGAAGTTGTGGATACAATATTCAAGTCCATAGCAGCACAACTACATGTAAAGGATAAATGTAGGTTATGTATGATACCAACCAAATGTTGGTTGATGGAGGAAGTTGAAAATGAACGAAGAGAAAGAGAATTACAGATTCAAAGAAAAGTTGAGGCTTCCTTTGCAAAGTTATCTCTATCTTCAAGTATAAAGACTGGAGGAAATCAAGATTATACAACAGATAATCAAAGATCATCTGCGGATCGAGTACCGCAAACTAGTGA